AATAGGATCGATATAGCGCCAGTCATATTTATTATAGAGAAAGGAACATTTTAATCTTAAATAAAAAATTCTAAAATCTAGAATAAAATGATAGTGTGTATCGTCTTTTCTTGAATATCGTGATGCCAACTTCGTGCGTTGTAAGATGAAGGGAGGAAAATTGATTCTAAACGCAAGAATATAAATAAACTTACATTTATATAAGTTACTTTTGCCTCAATATAGTAAGTCAATCTTTTTTAATTCGACAGAGGAGAATAAGAATTATTGATTTTATTTCGATACTGTCTTATTCTTACACTAAATGAAGTTGTGAGAAATATAAATGCGTCAAGAATATTTCTTGTCTCGGTGACAGAAATCCTTTCTTAGGGTGTATATTTCACAAATGATAGGCCTGAGATTTCGCGCGCTCAGGCACGGCGACACGACAAGTGATAAAAGTGTTGCTATGAATGTCGTCCTTTGTATGAATTATGCTTATCGCATAAATTTTAATAACACCAGTAGCTATACATTTTCTCGCTTCTTTACGCGTTGTATTAGTATCGTATCTTTACATTATTTAAAAGCTATTATAGCCTTGACATTTTTGTATTAGAATTTTTGTCTCGAAGTTTTCTAAAGAATCGGCGATTAAAAGGATCTCCGGTGGTTTTATAGTACACCCTGTATATTATGAAGCGTTGTAGCCGTCGAGTTCATTTATATCAGTCTTACGTACACGTGTTGTATGTACATTAATTATATAGCGTCTACGGTTTTATAACATCGTTCTAATGTCCGACGGCGTACGAGACGAATTCGACAAATGATCCTCGCGGCGCGATCGGCCCGAGACGCATGATTAATACCAGGCAACTTTCATATTTATGGATTAAGGACGCAGCAGTAGATGGTATCGACTCAATCGATTGTAATTGCGAATTAAAAGATGTCCGTTCGAGATGCATACGATTTTTGATGCACGCGGAGATGTAAATTATTAAACGCGCGCGATTAACCTCGATTTTTCAAAATCGCATATTGCCTTAAACAACGTCCAGGTGGTGTTCAATTCAAACTGCAATCACGTTTTAAATCGACCGGCATTAATCCGTCTCCATATTTAATGACACATCGCCGTCGAGTGTCATAAGTAGTTATCCCCCGAAAGCCGCGATTTTTCACACAGTGTATTAATGAGCATCGTAAGCGCGCGCGTGTACGTGCGGCACACACGAGCGCGCTGCCCAATCGAAATTGCGTGATCGGGTCGATATTCCTCGGTAATTGAAAATGAAACAGGGCCGTTCTTTTTTTTTTTTTATGGATTTTCGCGGAGGAGCAGTTTGCCGAGAGGTGGATAAACACAAGCATAAATCCACTTGTTTGTAAAATTGCTGGAAAAATTAATGGCGTTTATAAATATACTGTTTTAATTAGCTGTTCTGCATAAAAATATTAAGGATATCAGTGAGAGATATCATATCTGATATCCCGTTGATATAAATGCATATTAATGCGACGAATCAATGCGGTGAATCATTCGTTATGAAGTCTGCTGCAACGTTTTAAGTGAATTGCAGAGGGAATTGAATATTAATACGATTTTCTGATAGAATCGCGCAGGCCCGATAGAAGTATTTAATCGCGGCAAAACGCGAGGCATATGATTATACGTTCGCAGTATTGAAATCTTTGGCATCCGGTAATCCGCTTGAACGTTGAGAGGATGTAAGGTGATAATCAAGTCCGTCCGCGAGCTCGTCTAGGTTCCTCGGAACAAGCGCGTTAATTAATGCGTTCGAGACGGCGATCAACAGGATGGCGCGAGTCTGATTTGCATCTAACCGCGCGCGCGCTATGGTGAAGGCACGCGTATGCGTAAATATTGCCCGACGCGTGAAGCCTTTACGTAACGTATCATCTCGCGCGTTCGAGCCTGTTTGCAAAATCCGATCTTTATGAAAATTAAGAGAAGCACGTATGTTATACCCGGCATTATATTAATTAGTTCTTTAATCAACTCTTTACTGTTTGAAAATGGACTCGAAAGATTTCGATCCGTTTTGTTTTTACATTTTTCTTCAAGTTCGGCTCCCGCTTGCACGAGAACAAAGCACGTTAAAGAAATTTCGACAGATTTCCTTGCGTTTGACGTCATTGATAAATAGATTAGTCATTAGCGCTCGTCACGTGGTTTTAATTACGCGGGTTCGTATGTCACGAACGTCATTGCTTTCGCAGGTAGGTCTTGAATTCCGGTGTAGATCGTAGAGCCGGCAAGAAAGCACATAAATTTATGACCGAACGTGCGCAAGAGAACGTCCGACGCGTGGTTGCTATCGTTTCTGTTTCGTATTGGAACGTGGCTAATCGCCGTCTCGCACTGCTCGCCTTTATCTATCGCGCTGCATCGCGTTGCGCCGATACTGCGCGAAAATGATATATCGAGTGGTAACCTTGAGATATAGGCTTCCTATTAGCCCTTAATCACGTCGACGAGCGGATATGCGAACCGCTGGTCCTTCTCGGCAATTTGCAGAGCTAGAAATTGCCTGAAAATTGGGAAACGATTTCTGATTACCGCTTCTTCAAATTGTTTGGAAAATATATAATTACCATCTCTTTTAAAAATAACTTTCTTGAGAACTCTCTCTTCTTTTTGAGTTTATTTTATATTGCAGAAATACTGTCTTCTTTCAATTTTTTTTTCGTAACTCTTCTATTTCGTATGTGTCCTTGTAAATCAAGCTAAGATTTCTAAATAGCTATATCTCTCTCTTTGACATTTTAATCGCTATTTCGCATAATATCAATGTCGAACCACATAATTGTTGATGTGTACGATCGTCAAATGCAGAACGATTGTGTATCGCATATATTCCAGATTAGTGATTGAGAAATCGTCAGAATCCACGAATATGTTACCGGTTTCTTCACTCTCGCATAAGGTAATCCTATTAATGTGTTTTTGACGTATGCTAATTCGCGCTAACGATAAGTAATCAGGAATGAGATTCTCTTATCTCCCTTTCTATCTCGGATTATTGGAGACAGGCATTCAGCACGATTACTTTGCTGTCACAGAAGATCTTTCATTTACGTTCGTCAACCATTTCACAAAAAGCCGGCGGGGATATCAAAAAGCGTAAAAAATCTATGTTTAAATTAAATACAGGCTAATTAAGCATAAGTGAAGCAGGTCGCGGTAAGTTAACGACGTCTTCGCTTTTAAGTTTTAATCCGCACAGCGAGACGTTGTTAAATAAAAAATATTTTTAGTCCAGCTTTGAAAAGAGGATAAGAAACATCAATTTTTTAACAGAAATGTTGAATTAATTACGTAATGATGTATTAATTAATGATGTAGATAAAATATATTTTTATTCCAGCTTAGAAAAAAGGATAAGAAACACCATCTTTTAACAGAAATGTTGAATTAATGACGCCGAATTAATATCTGTCTCGCTTATCCGCATTGAAAATAATATTAATAACTTTTAGTAATTTAATTACTTTATAATTATCGATAAAGTATATTCGTTTCTTATGACTTTGAATATTTCAGCACACACTGAGATCATATCCGTTTCATAATCGTCACTTGACACTAGGTCACCGAATTGTGTAACAACGGCTTCCTCGATATTTAATTATTCGCGCTTCGCAAATCGTGCGTCATTGATCGATCGCGCTATTATTGATGCACCGTTATGCAACAGTCTTCTATTTCAATTGCTTTCGCCGCTCTAAAGAGGTCTTGCGACGTGCTCGTTCGGCTCGAAGAGGTCGCGTACGCGCCGAGGGGACAATTCGAGTCTTCCTTTTCTCTTCCCGTGAATGGCGTCGCGGGATTGGCACGGGAATGGCGCAAGCACGCTCCGCGATCATCCATGACGAACGGCATTAGTCACGAGCCAATTTCATTCCTGCTCCCTTTCCTGGCCTCCTCGTCCAGTCGCGAAAGAGGCGCTCTTTTTCGCCGCTGCCGTTTCGCTCGCCGGCAGCGGGATCTCTTGGCAACTGAAACTGGCGTGTGTTCTCGTCCTTTGCGTAATTATTGACAGATTTAGAGCGAACGCGCCAATTCGTGCATGGACGTTAGATCTATTTCATTAATTATTTCCAGATCCTTTAGTCGTGATATATCGTCTATTTATCGATTAGGTCGAAATGTATAATTGTAGCGTATCCTCAATCGCGGATCGAATTTCATCGGTTTTGCCTCGATTTAATTTCCTCGCAAGTTAAAACTATTTTGTGACATAATTTTCAGGAAATGTGTCTTATCATTGACAATTATTGGCGAAGATGTTGATAATATAACAGGACAATAAGTGCAGAAATGTTGATTACTTGAAATTAGAAACTGATGAACTCCGTAAAACGAAAGATAAAGAAACTTGGCAAAGTTATAAACCGTGTGCTCCGGTACTAAAATTTAACAAAAGTTACAAGAGGTTGATCAGTTCGGTTCCCGAGGTGTTAAAATTTTATTTCATCGATTACGCGATATATTAATTACGTAATGCTATAACGCTGTTAAATTCTTTAACTTTGGTGAGCCGTCTATGAACGTTTAAATTAAGAACCACCCTTTTTTTTATAATAGCGAGGAAACATTCATAGACCTGGGAAGGGCGGCTGAGGGGTATGTCGAATTTTTACCGACGAAAAATCTTGCCGGGTGATGAAAGTTCTTTCTGCGGACCATCCCAGGCGGCTGCGGCACTGCTGCTTCTGAGATAAATTAAGAACCGCCATCAACGAGTACGTGTTTTAGGCCTTCGTAGCTTCCGCTCGCGCTATAGACGTTCGGTGTGATTTCGTTTTAATTACACGTTGAATATTTCGAAACGACAATAATTCCGTTGGCGCGCGGCCTCGGGGGTTTGTTATTGCGGCGTACGGCGCATTGTGTTTACGCAAGGTCACCGTCCTTCCCATTCGAGCGCCGAGACTCGAGCCGGCAGGTAGTGTCGCGATCCGCTCCGCGTATCGTCGCATTACTTATCTATCGAAACGCGAACGCGACAAGAGAGAAGTACGGTTATTTCCTATAAATATTTCACAGTCCTAATTCAGTATGGATGATTGGCTTCGCGACGAGAGACTCAACATATCGAGGCAACGACTGTTTCACGTAACCGATATATCTCCAGTAATTTATACACACGAAATACAAATCGGCGGGGAATAGGAATCGGCATTGCTGCCCTGCGATATTCACGGGTTACAATCGTGTTATTTGACGGTGCTCAGACTTGAATGCGTTTCGCGTTTCACGCCTCGCATTTTTCAAAATAGTTTGCTCGCTGTATTTTCGAACGGAGAGAGGAACAATGTGTCGGATCGAGGTACGATTTGATTCAAGAAAGACCGTGTGATATCCTCGGTTGCTTATTGACAATTTCTTTAAGATATTTGAATATTTTCGGGGTGATACACTAAACTGGTTGGAATTCAACAGCCGGTGACGTATACAGCTATTTTCGTGCAATCCTCTTACGTTTGCACAATCGAGACTAGAGCCGCCAGGCAGTGTCGTGTATCGTCGTTTTATTATTCGAAACGGGATCGTGACAAGTGTTGGGAGGAAATTGCGACTGTTTGCTACAAACAGCTAGCAATTATTAACCCACGCGAACTAGTTCCGGTGATCGACTCATAAACGTAGTATCGTAGCGACGGCTGGTTATCGAAGCATTGTTTCGTGTGCTCTGTTTGAATTAAAGCCGCAGAGAGTGGAAATTATGGTTACGTGACGTTGACGCGGTAATTGTCTCTTTGAAGATTTACTTTACATCTTAAAATTTTGTATTTATAAAAATGTAAGCCGCTCATTGTCATTTCTGAAAAGCAGCACGAAGCAGCGTATCATAACTTCGTGCAATCGTACTTTTCTCGCCTCGTTACGGTAGAATAAAGTGCAAAGTCGCGCGAGTCTGGAGTGCAGTGCGACGATTGTGTTTTGACTAATTGGTGTGCGATCGTGTCTTTGCCAGTGAACAATGAATTGTGTCAGTGCATCGAATCTGAGAGAACGAGAGGACCGAAGAAGACCAGACGAGGAGATATCAGGTAAAGACAGAGTTAATTGCGAGGTGAAAAATATAACCTTTTGTATACAAAGCTTCATTCTAAATACCGATACGATTGATTCGTGTTACAAATAAAACTTTATACTGTTATTGCGACAAATATTATCATATGCCCCGGTGGTCAAATTGGTGAGACGCCTGCACCTAGAGTGTAGGGAGGTCCAGGTTCAAACCCTGGCTCAGGTAATATTTTTTCGCGATAAATTTTCTGTACTTAAAAATGCCAGATATGGTCAGGAAAGCACTGACGTTGTAATTATCGTTGGCGACATTGAGGAATTCTCATTAGTTATAAATAAAGGCTTGAGAGTTGTGCTTTCGTATTATTTCTTAACAGTCAAACTTTTAGATAACCCGATAATACGTACGTATCGCGAGGAGAGTAATTTGTTGGAAACCCGGGCGAGAGAGCGCGTTCCGCATGTGCGATTGCCCAGTGGCCGGTGCACGTGTGGCCGGAACCAGAGCAAACGAGCGCGAACAAACACGAACGAGCAATTTGCTCGAGTAATAATTCTGCCCGCGCTCGTTGATGCGAGCCGTTGATTCGTATTCGTTCGCGTTCGCTCGCTCGCTCGCTCGATTTGGATCCGGCTTGACACGCGCGCGCACGAGGGAGATCGCGTGCGTGCGCGCGCGTGCGCCGGCTCGCATTAATGCAGCGATATCGGGGCCGTGGGAATGAGCGAGTAGCGCGAGCGAGCGTTCCGCTGGCACGAGCGGGTCACCGCGACGAGGAGGGAGGTACGGCTGCGCCGCGCGCCATTCACTCCGCGGAGGACAGCAGAGGCCGACGACTATCGGCCGCACGCGGGAGGAAGTGCTAGCCGATTCCGCGCGACACGTGGCTTTTTCCCTCGCTTTGAGAAATGTCAACTGAGAAAGTAGCGTCGATTGTTCGCCACCGAACCGCTCGGTTCTCTCGCGCCGACACGCAATCGGTTTGTTACTTTCGCTACCAGCAGAGACGGTACTTTGCCCCCTCGCAATATCTCTTATCACTTTTGCGTATTCATTTTGTATATAATATATGGAATTGCTTTATTTGCAAATTCACTCCACGTGGGAAATTTTAATTAACACTGAAGTATTATCTACCCGTGCATCTATTGTGTAGTGTAATTGATTCTAATGATATTATAATGGATTTGAAAATACTGTGTTCTTATATACTAACGAATACAAGTTTCCGCGATTACTTTCAAGAAAAGTAAAGCTAACTGCTCGTGCGACTCTTTTTCTGGTTATTCTTTTTCGACTCGCGGATTACGAGAGAGTGGCGCGATAAAGAAAAGCAATCGGCCAGGTCGTTTTCCCATGAAGACACAATTCTTCAATTCGCGCTGTTGCAACTGCTTTTTTCATTGCACTATTCTGGCATTTAATTTTTTAATTAAAACAATTCATGATATAAGATTAATAATAAGATTGTTTTGCCGTATTTTTATATTGTATTCTTTATGGATATATAAGTATACATACTTGGCAAATTTTTTAATAGTCTCAGCCCTTTATTGTAGATCGGTTTTTCATTAATAAAATTAAGTTTGTATAGGATTTAATCTTGACTGCGCGCAAATCTTAACCGTAATCGTACATACGGCGGACGGATTGACATCTGAAACAGCATCGTAACACGCGTTCTTCCGTTAAATTCGCGAATACTTCTCTGCCTTTGATGTCTCGAACGAGTAGAGGTGTTTCCACCGTGTGGACATTATTTGGCAAGGCTGATTTCGCATGAGGAAAAATTCCTGCGCGAACATTTTAATCACTGTAATTACGAAAAAGGGTAATCGAACGGTTGCGACATACTCGTTCCGACCAATTTACACGGTCCGGATAGCCGTGAGACGACCGTAAATGAGGTGAGAGAACGCGGTGTGGATGGAGGGAAAGGGGGGGGGGCAACTGTAACAGGATAATGAATTAATTTATTTAATCGACGCGATGTCGCGATGCCGTCGGTGAAAATAACTCGGGTAATTGATACATTCCGGGCGGGCCTTCTTACAAAGTCACCTTACGACGTCGCCGTGTCGTGCTTGACCTCCTTTAAGTAAAAGCGTAAGCTAAAGAAAGCTTCTGCCCCTCCAACACGGGCGCGAACTTGCGTCTAATACGGGGTTGCTCGGAGGGTTGCCTGCCCTACAGGCTGATACCTATCCACCCTAATATCAAGGGAAGACTGCAAATCATTTTCTTTTTATATACAGGGTGTTTGATTCGATATGG